CTGGTTTCCTTTCTCACTCATTCACCTGTCTTCTTCCTTGTTCAATTTGTCTCGTGAATCCCGAATCAATTCAACAATCGTCATCTAGGCACACCTCCCCATGCAATTCAATCTTTACTTTAAACACCATCAACTGAAATTGAACCTTCTAAGGGCTACCAACTAAAGAAAACAGAACTTTACAATAACCTCCATCTCCAACAAGTAACAAACCTCAACCATATTTCCAACAAAATCACTGATCTAAAAAGACTCTTTCTTTAGCCTCTCTAATGTCATTGACATGTCAAACTCTCCAGCATGATCAGTTACCCAGACCTTTTTTCAAGCCTATGGTGAATTTATAATTGAACTTTTTTCTTCCCGGCTCAACAGACTGCAGAAACAGGAAAGAGTTTTGTTTGTCTAATCTCCCCAATGTGGTTCAATTTCAAGATACTACAGTTGGGCCTTGCACTAGTCTTTACTTAGTGAAATAACGGATTTTGATCTTACTGAAACTGATCTCTATTAAGAAAACATTCACTTTTAAATGCACAGAATATCGCACTTCTCCAAAAAACACTAAATTGAAAAGAAAATGAGTACCTATAATTATAAATTCAAATCGAGATTGAATCGCTTGTGGTGCAGACCAAGTTTGCCATGACCTGAGGGCAAAATTGAGAGAAATTTGATGAATTTTAATCAAGATTTGGCGAAGGAAAGTGAATAGAAGAGAGACAAAAGTTGTAAGGTTATTTAAGTCATTTTCTTTTAAAATTGACTTAACGGTCAAATTAATTAAAATCAAACAAAATAACTGAATATCAGACGAAATTAAAGTACAGGGACTTCAAAAAAACATTTCTACATGGCCTTATTGGACTGCATTTCTCCTTCCCCACGATTTCTCCCCTTTTTTTTAGAATGAAATGAATATTTTCTTTTTCTTTTTTTGTTTTTGTGTAAAAGTAACAAACAAATTATGTATTTAACTATTTAAAAATTTTTAATTTCAAAACAATATATTTTAAAATTTTATTGTTAAAATTTTAAATTGAAATTACATCTAACTAAATCTTAAACAATCTATTAGGTCGCTTCCATTGCATTGCAAAATAATATTATTGAACACACCCTAAAATGTCTATGAATGCTGTTTTTTTATAATAAAAGTTTCCTAATTGCTACAAGAGTGAAGAATGTGTTACTCTTCTCTAAAGGAAGAAGAGATGAATTTTATTTACTATTTCAAATTTTACTTTGCCGTAATAAAATTTTACAATTCAAGGACTTGGAAATTTTGAAATTATTCAATAATATTATAGTATGAGAAGTTGCCACTTGCCAGCTAATCGACCTCTCCAAACCCAAAGGAACCCTTTTCATCAGCCAATTCAATTGTGTTAGCTGGTCAGTTTAAAAGTCAGTCCTCCCCTGTAATCACAACATTAACAATTACAGTTAATGCTGATAAATAATATAAAATGATCTAGTTTGTAAATAATTACACAATCTATTCTAATAAGGATTGAAGAAACGTTGTCTTTTTCCGGGTGAGTAAAATAAAAATTGTCTACTTCGCAAGAATTGTAGTTTCTGTGGGATTAGTATTAGACCATCAAGATATAAATGTTTCCGGATTTCCCTTTTTCTTTGTGGCAGTCTTGATACTCTTTTTACCATTATCATTTCGGCACTCTTGATTTTATAGTTAAATTCATAGCAGGAATAAAATAAACATATTTTAGCAAAAGAATTAAGGGACAGCTAAACAAAAATTTTTTAAAACAATTTTATACCAAAAAATAAAATTTTCCAAATACATCATAGAATTTACTAAACTTAGAAGAACCTTGTACTCATTAACCAACTCATAAATTTAAAAGCAGCTCAAACTTAACAATTTGACAAGAAAAATTTTAAAACTAAAATGATTGACGAACTCCCTTAAAGTAAATCAGTATAAACAGTACCTGCGATCATGTCTTCTTTTAAAATGTATATATATATATATTTATATATATATGTTAAATCATTAAAAACACCCCAAACTTTATGAATAATTTTTATTAAAATTCAATTTTCTTCTTATATACTCTGAATTTTAATTTTAATTATAATATCTTAATTTCAAATTACATCTAATTTAATAAATAAAATATTATTTTCGTCAGACCTGTACTCTTTCTTATGGTCAGATTAACTAAAAATTCATTATTTAACACCTTAACTCATATCAATTAAAAATTTAAATTCATAAAAAGCCAAGCATAAACTATTAATTTAGATTTTTGATTGACAATTTTTAAGTATAGAATTTTGTTTATACTTAGATAAATCTGTTATAAAAATAGATTTTATTCATTACACAGTAATTTTATTTTTAGAACACCAATACTTATTGTAAATATCATATAAATAATATAAGTAATTTATTTTTAAGATGAATAAATTATTTTTTTATTCTAATATTTATATAAATAAATATTTATATTTATTTATATAAAGTGGTGGTGGAGTCTGATTTTAAACTAGATCCCAAACAATAATATTTTATTCATTAAATTTAATTTAATTTGAAATTTCAGTGCTATTGTAATTAAAATTAAAGTTCAAAATACAAGGAAAAAATATTAAATTTAAAATACAAATAAAACTACCCTTAATCTTTGATGATTTAGCCTAAATATTCTTACGAAACCTTTAAAACGTGAAAACTAATAACTTCTAAGTTGGCCACACAACACAGTCGGCCACATGTTTAACCTCTAGACCATCTGAGCATGTCATCCCAACCCACAAATTTCAAGTTCATTTTGCTATTTAATTTGAAAAATGGGAAAATTAAGGAAAATTTCTCTCAATTAGACAAATAAAAACAAATATCTACGAAGACAACTTAAAAGAGTTTCAACACACTAGCGTTGAACAGTCGAGCTCAAACAGTTGCAACCAATTTGACAAGGGCTCTATCTACCTGGTACCTAGTTAAACCTGGTTAAAACTTAGAAATGGTGCATCACATTCTATGCGCTACACATCTAGTGAGACAATAAAAATAAATGAATGAAATGAAAACATGAACAAACAGATGAAACAAGTAAAAGACCCGCTTCCACCACATGCGTCACCAATAAGAGAATTGGAGTAAAATGTTTATCATCAAAAAACAAATAGCTAAAATGAGAAATCATATAAAATAAAGGAAACAACAATATAAATTAAGCTGATTCGAGTTGCTAAAAATGACAGCATTCAACACCTATAGACCAAGAGTTAATACTGAATTAAATCATTTACTACTACCATAATCTGCAATTCCGTTTTTATGTAAAACAGTTATAACAAAGTCATTCTCTCAACCATCTTTTATGCATATAATTCCTAAAGAAATTTTCAATTATACTTTGCCACCTATATCTTCAAATACAAGAAAATTAAACAAAAGCACAATATATCAAATAAACTTTTTTTTTTAATATCAAGGTGGTGTCCAGCCCTTTAGGACCGACTGAACTATTAGGAAAAATAATAGTTTATATAAGCTAACTTCACATGCAATGCCACTTGATGAATTGAAAACAATCTTTTCAAATCAAAGATCCCAAGTATTCCATACCAAAAACACTAGAGATAAATAGAAGGTCCCCAAAAGGTAAACTACTATTAGTACCTCTAGTTTGCTTTTCAAAAAAATACATCAAAACATCATTGAAGTTAGCCTCTGTTGAACTATCCAAATTTATAATTTTGCCATTATTTTTAATAGACCAACAATACCATGTATCCTACTTCTATTGTCTTTATGCTAAAAGTAAAAAATTAACTTTTTTTAATAAAAGTTACACGTATAAAAGGGTGTTTCTCTTTCCACCGAAAATTAACAGCAAAAGGCATAAAATTTATACGCAAGGACCAAAATATTGGATGGTTAGACACATTCGTATATTTTTGAAAAGGTAACAACAAAGTAGTCAATTTCATCAAACCACAACAACCAAATAGTAATTCTCCCTAAAAAAAAATATACAATAATCCTCTCATGTTTCCCCAGTTGGCAAGTTACAATAAGACGAACCTACACTGCTGAAATCAATATTAGCAGTTAAGAACTTTTGCAATTAAAACTCCTATTCAATTTTCAAGGGGTGGGTGGTTATTTTTATGCAATTATACTCCAACTATACTTAAATTTAATGATATGAATTGAACAGGATGAATCATGTTAAGGATTGAGAGGATCTCAACCACAGAAAACCACCTCTCTTTTGAATAAATCAATTCCTCTACAACAAGTCAAACAAGTTCAAGAACTTCTACAATGACCACAAAACTAGTTGAGTGACCACAAGCTTTATGAACAACAAAAAGAGATGAACATGAGAGCGCCCTATGAAAGGAAAATTACTCTCAAAAACAGTTCTCATATGGATCGTTTACCAATAGGCAGTCAAATTCACATAGTACCCCCAGATCAGCAAAAAAATTAGGTCCAAAAAATCAATAACAAAAAAATAAAGTATCAATGAGATAACTCACTTTGTATCCATTTTTAAACATAAAACAGAAATCAAACTGAAGAAGGATATTATAAACCAACCCCTCTTCGACAGCATTGGAATACATATTAGAAAGAGGAAATCTCGTCTATATTTCATTCAAAGCATTTAGCATAATAATTGCTAATGAGGTCTGAAAGATGACAGGTATGACACTTTCAACTGAAGGTTTAAGCAGGTGAAATACAATAAATCATGCAAAGCAACATCTCCGATTGATGCCAAAATTAGCATTCATAGAAAATTGTAAATAGCATTAGTATATGAACTTGAAATCAAGTGTTTTTAATACCTTCCCTTTGTCCTCTTTTCTTGTAGAGGCAGACTGCATAAAATTACACATCCATTCAGCATTCATTTGTCTTCTTTTATGATATTGGAACACTCAAAACAACATACTCAATTAAGGGAAAGAGAAGAAGAATAAGAAACAATTCCTACAATGTACCTGAGAAGTTAAGTAGAAACCACTAGAAAAACTGTGCACTGAGATTTCATAGTTCATGCCATTTAAGTTCAAATGCATTGCCAAATAGACTACAACAACAACAAATTAAGAAGAGCAATAACGAACTGGCCCTCCTCCTGTCTAAGGCATCTAGACAGAATAATATAGCATCTTTGACTAATGTTGCACATATTCACAAGTAGATTACTTAAGTTGCCAGACTGACTGATTACACAGAAGCAAGAATTTCATAATCACAGATGAGTTTCAATCTCTAAAATATCACATGCTATCAATAAGAGGGGTATGATGCATGGTTACTCGAATCATAGCGACGTGACCTAAAACGGCTAACGGTATCAAAAGGGGACCCAACAACTCTTCGACCACTATCATAATTGATGCCATTGAATTGAGACCCATATCCATTATGATGGTATGTTACACCATGGGAAACTGGCACTGAATCAAAGAAAACATTGCTCAGGAATGAGACTAAATAAACTACCTTTAATATTTTTTAAGGAAAAATTAAAGGATGAAAGTGTGGAAAAGCCCATTACCTTGGGAATAATTGTGAGGGTAAGCCGAAACCCTGCAAGTTGCAGACAACCTCATAGATTGATGAGAGATATCTACATTGTTTGTGGGAAAAGAAGGGTGTGGCCTTGGCTTGTTATTTAATGCGGTTATAGGTCCATTTTGAAGACTTTGAGAAGGTCTATCTTGCCCAGAAATCTGTTCAACCAAAAATGTGTCAATCCTCAATAAACCAAAGCTATAATATGACATTAGTCATTGGTAGCCCTTGCAAATTATCTATCCCTTTTGGACAATTGACTTCACATTTTAACAAGGCACCATAATTAAATATAACAAGAGTTCAACTTCTACAATTGACGACAAGAACTGCAATTATGCACCAAAACATAAAAGAGGCATGTATAACAACAAGACAGTCTACAACAGAGACAGTTTTTTCGATATTAAATAAAGGACCAAAGCACGATTACTTTACGGACCTAACCAAAATTTCATTAAAAGAAAGAAACAAGACAAAGACATCAAATAACACACCGCAAATTTCAAAGTCCGATTATAAAGAACCACAAGGCCCGTGAAAAGCTTTACAGCATACTCTGCAATCTCCTCAGTTTCATATTCTGCAAAAGCATACCCTTTGGATTTATCAGTTTCCTTATCTTTCGGAATGTATAAATCCACCACCCGCCCGGCTTGAATTAAAATATCATATAAAACCCTATCGGTCACTCTCTCGTCCAAATTACCTACAGAAAAAATAGCGATCGAATAAATCGGCACCCGGAATGAATAAATTAACCAAAATCAACAATAAACCCTATCAAGATTAGCTGATTCTCCTAGTATTTTACAGCGAAACAAAAATATAATAGAGATCCTGTTTTACAATTAACAAAATAGAGAACTCACCTATGTAAACCGTCGAACTAGCGTTTCCAGACATGGTCGCTGAACTAAGGATCGGACGCGGAATGAAGGAAGTCCGACTGAAAAAGGCCTCGTAGAAAACAAGTTCTATTCCCCCGCGAAAGGGAGAGACAGCAAACAGACCTGCTAACGTACTCCAGAAAGCCTGGGCCGGTTATGACCATCAACAGATACAATCTACGGTGATGTGGTTTATTTATTTTCGAGCATTTGGTTCACCGACTCAAGTTGGAATTGATCGAGTATAACAGCCTCTAAAGTAATGCCACCGCATATAAAATTAATGTCGTCAATTCTAAAAGCACACTAACGTTAGTGGTAGAGCATATCCGGTGCTAACATAGATTATATTTAAATATTATACTGTGGTCACGTGATGTTTATTTATAAACATTAGTAATCAATTTTCTATTTGAAAAATTAGAAAATTTTCACGGTACGAGACATAGGCCGGACCGGCGTTAGAACCTTGATAAACTTGAGGCCTTTGAAATCCGTAATAAATCTAATTTGAACAAATTCAATTTTATTAAAGTGATGTTCGGATTAATAAGTCCATGTTACTTTATTTTAAATCATATAGTCAATTCATACATCTGACCTAATTTCAATATTCCAAACAACTCATAGCTCGGGCCTAAAAATAAAAATAATTCAAACTATTCATAATATGGACTAACTGGTCCTTGCATAGTTATAGTGAAAAATAAAATCCACAGGTGTCTTGATTTGCATACTACTAAATTCCATGATAATTGATGACACAAATGCCTTAATTGCACAAGGCACAACATCATAGGGTGGATAATAATATAAGATATTATATTTCAATAATATAGGATTAAAAGAATAAAGACCGAGTATTATATATATAATGTAAAATAGTGTTGTATATATGCAAACGATGGTATGCGTTATTTATTAATACTCACAATGATAAGATAAAGAGCAAGCTTTAATTTTGATTATGGCTAGCAGGAGCAGTGAATGAACTCAGACGATCTAGATAAATTACAAATATGAAAGAAAATATGGAATTAGACAATGGTTCACTCTGATAAGGAATTAAAGAATTAATCTAATATATATTTATCTATCAACTTAACTGCTATGATTAATCTAAATCTTATCGAAAATTTGGCGGCACCTTCCCTGAAAATAGAAATATCTATCTGCTCAAGTATTAATAATTAATTATACTCATTAATTATTTCATATAGCCCATATATCGGGCAATCAAGCAATTCAGTTCTCCTTTCCTTCATTCATGTAATTATATCCATTTTGAATCAACATTTCAAAACTTCAAATATCCTCAACACATGCTTTAAATATCATCATTCTTACTTCTCAAAATAATTGAGTTTCCTTATTCAGCTATGAAATAAATAAGATCTAATAATTAAAAACACTTCTTTACTTGATTAGCTTTACTTGATATATAAATATCCTTCAAGCATAACCTCTCACATTCTCACTTTATCACAGTATAATTAATTTATCTAGCTAATTATCGAGTAAACAAAATCCCTTTTATAAAATTCTAGATTGACTTCTGAAATTAATACTTCAATTACCATAAAATCCCTATTATTATTATTACTGCCAACTCAGGGAATTCCGAGTTCTCAGCTTAATATTCTTGATATACACTCTAGTTTAACTATCTTTTAATGGGCATATACCATTTATTTAGCTAACGGTTGAAAAGTAAAATTTTAATATTTGGGTTATAACATTCAATTAGAAGTTAAGATTTTGAATTTGTAATTCTGAGATATTTAATTTCTCTTCCATCATTGAAATGATTTGTAAGTCACTTCAATTATATGTTCCAAATCTTAGGGCATTATGCCTCTATCTATAAGGAAGTTAAATATTATAAACATTTTTCCAGTTATTTAGTTTACGGTGAAAAATGAAAATTAAAATTCGGGTCCGAAAAATCTCTTTCACTTGAAATAAAGGTTAGAGGGAGTATATATTTTTACTGCCACGAAATCTATCTCTTAATATTTTTTTATTTTTTATTTTTAAATTTTATGAAGTAATTGAATGATTGATTTTACGTATATCTAGAGACCGCAATTTGTTTGGAGTGTGAGAAATATGTACAAGCATATGAATGTTTTAAGGGAAAGAGAGCTATTTGCTGAGTGGACTGGGCTTAGATTTGGGCTTCAAGTAAGAAGATGGGATATGTATTTGTTTTGATTAGATAAATGAATTAATTTTCTTACACGTGGATGGTGTGAATAAGTATTCATATTATATGCTATAAATTATGATCATAAATTCGTCATAATCAGAAAAAAGAAAATGCAAGGCGCAATGTGATCGGGATAAATAGTGAATGTTTAAAATGGGATAACAGTTATGGAGAATTGAGATTATTTTATTTTTTCAATTTCAATATGTCATTATAAAGTGTAAATTTATTTTTTCAATTTCAATATGTCATTATAAAGTGTAAATTTCTTTGTTAAAAAAAAATAAAGTATGAGTTGCAAATATAAATTTTAAACATAGTTTTAATATTATTTTTATTAAAACTATAATATTTAAATATTTAATTCAAATACATTAAATATTATATATGGGGCTCGGGAGAAGATGAGAGAAAAATATTTGAATCATTGCGGATTGGTTTCAAATTAAAATGCCATCCCTAAAATCGGATTACGCCCAGTAACTTGTACATTTATGGTTTTGTGAGGTTATGTGAGGTGATAAGATTTTTTATTTTAAAACTCTTAAATTTAATTCATTTGTATAAATGCACTAATTAATGCAAAAATTAATAGCCAAATAAATAAATCCACTCTTATATTATATTTTTCTCAAAAAATCGTTTATCATTCCAAATTTTGTGAGGGACTTATTATACTTCCTATAGTTAAAAATAGTTCTTAGGATTTTTTTTTTATATGCAAATATTGATTTGATATGTAATAAATAAACTTTTGCAATAATAAATTTTACATTTTTCAACTATTCAATAATTATTCAATTGACATAATTTTATAAGTTAAAAGCATTTAGTGAATCAAAATAAAACTTAAATTTACCATAAATATTCTTCTTTTTTTAATTAAAAGTACATTATGAATTTATGTATCTGGTGAAATTAATATGATATATCATTTAAATACTCGCTTCTATTATTTTTCTAACACATTAGGTGAAAATATAATTAAAATAAATATATGAATCTTTATTGTAGGAAGGTCTCAAAAAGTTTCTTTTGTGATATATTTTATTTTGAAATATTGGAGCAAACTAATAAATTTTTGTGGTTACGGTAATATATGCAATCTGTTTGGTCAATAATTAAAAAATGGAATTATATTTAATAAAAACCTGGAAATAGACCTTGCATGGGCATTTTTTATGATGATATATCCCCACACACACACACATATATATATATATATATATATATATATGAAAGTTGAAACAAAGAGAAAGCTCGATGTGTTCTCTTTGTCCAACATTTTATTTTTTATTTATTTTTTTTATAAATTTTTAAGTTTTTCTTAGAAGCTTCGGCATCAACTTTTAATTCGAAGTGATGCTCTTTGTCCGCTGCCGTTTTAGAGAATTTGCTGATATTAAGAACCACCACTAAAATAGCATCAATTGATGATATATAAAAAAGAAGGCGGGTGAGTAATTTAAAAGTGTTCAAGTGTTCTACTTTTTTAGGATCTTTTATATTTTTCGTTTTGAAATATTTTTATAGGTTGGATCTTGACTTATTCATTCATTAAACGTGATTATATTAAATAGATCTATCTTTCACTCAAATAAAACTATGGATCTTCTCCGGTATATCTTATTTTGGTTTATAATATGCCAAACATTAAATTATCATATTACATTTCATTTTCATATAATTGAACATGTTCCATAAGAGCTTTCGAGTATGGAAGTTCCATACCATCTTTGGAATAAAGAGGAAATATAATGACAAAAAATTTAAAAAAATAGAGGGAAAACAAGTGAATATTTTTATTTGAATATAGGAGGAAAATAATTTATCTTCAATAGTTCATTATTAGGCGTGGGTGCTTGCGCAATGCTGGGATGACTGTTTTCATAATTAAAGAATGTGCACAATATGTGATTAAATAAATTTATAATAAATCCAGTATCAAAATAAAAATAAAAGATTAAAATAAATAAAAATTGATAATATTTTGTACAAAAAGTGAAAAGCTAAAATTAACATATAGTTAAAACAAAAATTATTTATCTGATTATTAATGCTGATCAGAGTTTTGCTGTTTGACAGTTGTTTCTCAGTCTTACTCTTCAACCTATCATGTCTCGTCCCTTCAACTTGGGGCATTAATGGCTATAAATAATAATAAAAAATACTCCAGCTCTCTAAATTTTGGATTTACAATTATTTCTCCATATTAATCTCCTTGTGGCTTTTGCAAGCACTGCTCAAATAAAGAACTATTTCAATTATTTAAATGACCATAATAATAACCAAAAACGGTAAATTCATGAGTTATTAATTGTAATTTATCTGTAAAAAATACGAAATTAATTATTTTTTTATCTCAAATTTGCAGAATAGTCATAGGAGAATAGTAAGAATGGTCTTTGTCTGACTTAAGGACATGGGTAAGTGCAGCACTTTTTAAATATAACACTTCAGATGGTAAAGATAACATTTCGTTAAATAGTAATCAAGACACTTGCATTAAATATAATGTACCCGGGTCAGGGCAAGTAGGTTCCCACGGGATTATTTTATTTTATCTTTTAAATTTCAATATATCATTATAAAATGTAAATTTCTTTGTTAAAAAATAAAATATGAGTTACAAATATAAATTTTTTTAGACGTAATTTAAGAATATTTTTATTAAAACTATAATATTTAATATTTAATTCAAATATATTATATATCAGGATCCGAACAAGATCAAAGAAAAATGTTGGGATGATTGCGGATTCATTTCAAGTTAAATTGCCTTCTCTCAAATCAGATTACATGCACTAACTGGTACATTTATGGTTGCGTGAGGTGATAAGATTTTTTATTTTAAAACTCTTAAAATATAATTCCTTTAAATAAATGCATGGATTAAATTAATTAATAAGCCAAATAAATAAATTCCCTATTATATTTTTCACAAAAATCTTATAGCACTCCAAATTTTGCGAGGGATTTATTATGGCTCCTAAATTTACAAATTTTAATAATAGTGTATATTTATTCATGTTAACTAATAATTTTTTCGGACTTTTTTATTTTTATATGAAAATATTGATTTGATATGTAGTAAATATAACA